AGCTACTAGTAACAAGTGCCTCGCTACTAGGAGCAAGTGCCTTACTACTAGTAACAAGAAGCGTCTAATTTGGGTGCCGTCCTTCTGTGCCAATTCCTTGGCAGTATGCTTGGTGGGTTTGGCCTTTCCGCCCATTGCTCGGAAGCAAAGCTCTCGTGAAAACTTTTGAAAGAAGAGCAAAGAGCGAAAGAAGAGCGAAAGAAGCTGTTGAAAGTTTGTTGGTTGCATTGCTGTTTGGAAACTACAGCATCCTCCCTTCTGTCACGAATCTCAAAGGCTTGAGCCATGAGCTCTAACACCAGCCATTGCATGAATGCAACGGAAAAAAAAAAAAAAACGAATAAGCACAGGAAGCGGAAGTAGAAACGGACTAGGAGCAAGGACGCTACTAGGGGCTCCTGGCATCGCTACTAGGAGCAAGGACGCTACTGGGCTCACATGGCACTTGCAGCGCTCACCCCTTTCTGCACGTGACATTGTTCAGCTTCTTCGGAAGCGCGATGAAAACGCAATGTTAGGCCTGGACGACGGAGCCCGGTAGATACAGGAAGGAGAAACCGAAACGTCCCAGAAAACATCTTATTTAAGCCGCTCCCTCTCCTCCCCGAGACTACCTACTTAATTCAGTAAGGAGCTGAGGTAGCCAGTAGGTAAAGGACGCTCCTAGGGCGCAGGATAGCTCACCCTTCTTCAAGGAAGCTCCCCCCGCCTGAGGGCGGAGGGAGGCTTCCTTGAAGAAGCGCTCGCACAATTCGTTTGGTCCCTAGATTTTTTGGAAACTTAACTAGTAGCAATGAAAGTAAAGATAGCACACCTCCACTCCATTTTACCTCTATTAGCTTTTGGGCCTCTGCATGCTTAAGTGGCAAGTTCAGGCTGACTTATACAATTTGACACCCTATGTCACGTTTCGTCAAGCCAAGGTGGAGAGACTGTGGATGTGTGGATGTGTCTGCGTGCGTGTTGCACTCCACAGCACATCTTTGAAGGATAGATCTTGCAAGACAGACAAGAAGCGAATTGAGACCAACTGGGGCACGGGGCAAAGTATGGTTTTGGTCCGGTTTTAGTTCTCACTTTTTGTCAAATCTGCACGACAGTGTCTTGCTTTCAGCAAAAATGGAGGCACGCGCAGCCATGCGCAGCCCGAATGCGGCTCTGTTCATCGGTCAGCCTTCCAGGAGATCCCGCAAAGCAGTCAGCCGTGCTTCTGTCCAAGGTGAAGGAGCCTCAACGCGTGGCTCGGGAAGACCACTTGGCCAGTTTCGAGACGACAGATTCTGGAGACCAGAGTCGTCTCCAGCAAGAGAGCTCAACGACCTCAAGTTTGAAGTCGAGGAAAGTGACGAAAGGTCTTTCAAAGCTGCCAACGTGCCCAAGGCACTCAAGGCACCGAAACCCTCTGTTTTCTTCTTATATGTCACTTCAAGAACTTCATGTCCTTGTCGAATATGCTGCAAAATATACTCAGAACTTGTTTGAAGCTCATCCACCAAGCCCTTTTCAAGAGCATCGTTGCCAAACCAAACTTCTCCAGTTGCGACTTCCTGCACGGCCAAAAACACAATAACACAAGTGTCCTAAACTCAATCCCAAAAGCTGCTTTGATCTCCGTTAAGTCTTTTAAGAATTCATCCAGTGTTCCGTCGCTTCTCCAATCACCCACCTCGATGTTGAGACCTGGTCGATTCTTCTTGACGAAGGCAGAAAATTGTCGGTAGATTCGATTCACATCCTGTGAAGCTGCCAAAAGTGAGGCACTTTGACATAGTTGAGTTACACAAGAAGCTACTAGGAACAAGTGCCTCGCTACTAGTAACAGGTGCCTTACTAGTAGTAACAATGTTTGCTACTAGTAACAAGTGCCTCGCTACTAGTAACAAGTGCCTTACTTAAAGAAACTTCAACCACTTCTTGATCGTGCTTGTAGTGAGCTTCTGTGTGCATCCCAACTTGGGAACTAACTGGGCGACCGTGCACCTGCCGTAGAAAAGTCAGAAGCAAACAAGAGTCAAGAACTGAGATTGGAGGCCATTGCTCTTAGGTTGGAGGCCATTGCTAGTAGGAGCAAGGACGCTATTAGGGGTTCCTGGCCTTACTACTAGGAGCAAGAAGCTTCTAGGAACAAAGGGCATCGCTACCAGGAGCGATCGGACGCTACTAGGAGCAAAGGCCATTGCTAGTAAGTTGGAGAGCCTGAGAAGGCGGGAACAAAAGCCTCCTTGGACCACAACTTGATGGGGGAATGTTATTCAAAGCGTCGCCAAAACAGGCCTGAAACGAACGATACAATCCAGGTTTGACCAATCATCTACGGAGACCCTTCTTTAGCGCTTTCGGCTTAAAAGGAACGAGCCTGGAAGAGAATGAAAAAAAA